GTCTAACGTTAGGTCGTAGAACAATATTAGTAGAATATTTACTGATGGTATTAACCCTAACTGACCTAAAGCAAAAAAACGTACACAAATTACAGTGTTAATGTATCTCTTTATCGAATATAGGCTGTACTTAATAAAGACTTAACTAATGTTAGGACTAAGACAAATGGACTTATAGATTTCAGTGTCTGCGATTAGAATTATTTTGCATTACTCTAGAAATCCTGTATTTAAAGAAGTACTGTTACAAATATTTTGCGAGTCTTTGCTAGTTCATAATAAAATGCAAAAGTTGGAAGTAGTTTAAAAATAATTGCGTAAAAAATGAAAGATAAAAAATAATTAAAAAACACAACTGAGATACAAAAGCTATTCAGGCGGTATGGATAGTTTTGAGTTTAAGAAGTGTGGGTATACTATAACCCCACCCCTCACACACACACACACACACACACTTCAAGCACTAGTGGTAACAAGACACGAATTCCGGAACATCATCTCCACGGTCCGGTTTCAAACGTGTTATGTATACTAGGTTATGAGCTATGAGTACTGTACGCTATAGGGTTACGTATACTATAGGTCATAAGTTACGTATACTATAAGTTATGGGTTATGTAGAGCCTATATGCTGGGCTATGTATACTATAGATTATGGAATATGTATACTATAGATTATGGAATATGTATACTATAGATTATGGAATATGTATACTATAGATTATGGAATATGTATACTATAGATTATGGAATATGTATACTATAGACTATGGGTTATGTATACTATGGGTTATGCAGAATCTAAAGTCTAGGTTATGTATCTTAGGCTATAACGAAATACAAGAGCGAGATGAAACAACTTACACTTTAAGTTAGTGGTAGGTGAATATTCCATGTTTGAAGTTTTTACATCTTAAGTAATATATATATATATATGTGTGTGTGTGTGTGTGTATAACATGCTGGTCATTCATGTTAGGTCTTTATTAATACGAAAATATATTAGGTCGTCAAGAAATTAATGTCGCTTTTTTGTAGATGGAAAAACCCGAACAACTTACGTATCAAAACAAAACATTTATTATTATGAAATAGTCTCCATTCTCATCGATGATGCTTTTCCATCTTACAGTCAGGTTGTTGATACCCTGATTAAAGAAATAACTTGGCT